TACTTAAGTAATTTATTTGGAAAACTACGGTATGCACTTCGTATGATAGTAAAAAGGAATTCTAACTTATGGCACACCAACTCCCATAGTCTATAATCCCGAAAATATCTTGTTATATAGACGTACGATTATCATTTTATGACAGATTGGTCATAATAATAATAATAATAATAATAATAATAATAATAATAATAATAATAATAATAATAATAATAATCATCATAAAACTACTTCGAATATTAATCATTTTAAAAACACACGCCCGTCTGATATAAATTACCACAAAAAAGCATTGTTCATTGAGATTCAAATCCACTTTATTTGTCATATAAAACAATGAAATACATTTCAGATTATAAGTATTCCAAAAAAATAATAAAAACATCATCAAAACAAACATTACTGTTACTACATAAAATGTACAGTATTGCACTTAAAAAGGAAGTATCACTATTACTATTTATATTATAAAGAATCATTTGACCAGACATAATCACATGCTTGATGTTAACCTAATAACAACAATAGTAGCACAAAAAGCTGCTCGTGAAAATAGATTAAACACAATGCAGACATTATTTTCAGAATCACTAACAATACACTGTACCAACATGGAGGAAAGACAAGCGTTCCCCATGAAAAAATAATACTTGTACTTAAGTACGTAATTTATTTGAAAAACTACACCTTTTTTAACAGTGACACACTTCAAAAATTTGAAGGTGCATCCAAAACAAATACAGTACACAATTTGAAAAAAAACTTAAAAAAACGCAACTGACATGAAAAGAAAAGGCAAAACAAAAACCAACAAAAAAAAACACCAATATACAATAAATTAAATATGTTAAGTAAATATAATAATTAATATCTACTTATACGAAATTATATATATACAGTATATATATATATATTATATATAGTATATATATATATATATATTAAATTACGGTGTATCAATATTAGCAGAAGATATAGTGCTCAGGTGTATCAGTATTAGCAGAAGATATACGGTAGTGCTCAATACATAAGCTGTAAAGCGTTGTATAGTATAATATATTGCGCAATGTTTTCTTGTGGCTTGGTTGTTACTCTGAGTTTCAGGTGACAAATGGGCATCCGACATAGGGCGCGAAACTCAGTGTAACAACCAAGCCAAGTAAGTAAATATAATAATTAATATCTACTTATACGAAATTATATATAATACAGTATATATATATTAGATATATATAGTGTATATATATATATATATAAATTAAATATTAAATAAATTAAATTACGGTGTATCAGTATTAGCAGAAGATATACGGTAGTGCTCAATATATAAGCTGTAGAGCGTTGTATAGTATAATATATTGCGCAATGTTTTCTTGTGGCTTGGTTGTTACTCTGAGTTTCAGGTGACATAGGGCGCGAAACTCAGTGTAACAACCAAGCCACAAGAAAACATTGCGGAATTTATTATTATTCCTTCTTGATCAAAGTCTCTCCTGTGCCAGGTAAGTATGCTTAATAATTTAAGAGTATGACTATATATACAAATATTTTGAATGCCATACAAAAATGTCATTATTATTAATTTCTATAAAACTACCAATGTTGGATAAATATAGTTTATATATTAAGCCATTTTAAAAATAAATCTATAGAACTTAACAAGTTATAATTTCACTACTATATTTCATATCTTGTAGGTCTTGAATATTCATTCAATTTAATATACATAATTAGAGGGCGTAGACGAACTTGAATCATCACTTCCGGGAAAATTATTAACACATGACTGACAGCGTGAAAGGAACCGTGGCACCGTTTCTTACTTTACCGTACATATTCTCATGTAAATAAAAGCAGTCGTTTGTTAAAATTTTGTTACGGTTAATACTTAAGTTTCTTCTGTCCAATAAACAAATCAAATAAGATAGGCCTAGTATAATACATACTCCAAGTATCGAAATGCACGACATCGTGTCGGCATTCAATATTTCGATATTAATTATGTCATCATCAGGAATGAATGAATAAACAAATCTGTAACTGTAATTTCCTATAGATCAATAACTATGGGGGGTTTAAATTATTAAACGTATGACATCATTTGTTTGGGTTTTTTTTCTTGGTTTTTTGGGGGGAGAGGGGGAGGGCGGGGTCCAGGGGTGGAGCTTCGGCGGGGACGAAGGCCCGTGGTGCTCCCGACGATCTGAGCATTGTATTAATCAATCAATCAATCAATCTTTATTAATAAAGATTGAGGAAATACAACAAAGGCAAGGCCTGACAATGTGTTGTATCACCTTAACAAAAAGACAATCATAAGCAAAATAAAATATTAAAAAACATTAAATATACACAAAAATTAAAACAAATTACATTACGGCAGATACAGAAACCCACCCACCCATATGAAATACATGTTGCCAAAATGAACAAGTAATCGTTATTTAAAAGTCACAGTATTGCCATGAAGT